CTCTCATTTATTAAGTGCCTGGCCTATGCTGGGGGGCTGGGAATGCTAAGATGAAAACTGGCATTGTTTCCTGCCCTAGAGAACAATACATGGTAATGTTTATGGGGAATCTGTGTTGGTAGAAATGCCAACTGATATGTAAAGCCATACCATAAAAAGAAGGGGTGAAGGGACTGTGTCTGTTTAGACTGGAGAAGATACAAGGAGGAGGGAAGACATAATTGCCATCTTCAAAAACTGAATGAAGGGTTGGCTTGGGGCAGAGAGAGAACCGGGGCCAGGGGGACCTAGATGACTGAGATCCATAGTCATCACCACCACAGAACCACGGCCAGCATTTACATAACACTTGAAGGTTGATTTTTACATTGATCTCATTTGGTCCTCTTCTTCCTTCTTCCTTCTCTGAATCTGATCATTAACCTGGTGCCCTTCTGGGATCTTTCCTGGGCTGATCTGGAGAGAGAGACCTGGGGCTGGGTTAATAGTTTTTACAAGACTGATGAAGTTTCTCATTTAGATTAGTCCAAAAGCTTCAGACTTGGATACTGAGGAAACTGCTTTCTTAATATTTCTAGAAGAAGTGGAGAGGAGGGGAGGTGGTAGATGAACCTTAGTGTGTGTCCTAAACAAATCTAATGATCATGTCACGCGCATCAGTGTGCTGGTAAGTGTTTAACAATAAGGGTGCCACCTGAAATGATGGAATATAGATGGGTAGGGCCTATCATCCTGAAAGAAATTCACTCCGACAGTCTCCAAGTTAAAGGAAGGCATTTATTGGGGTGAATCACCCAAGGGGGCCTGCTCCCTATGAGGCAGAGCCCCAGCAGGCTCTACTTCATGTGGGAGGCAGAGGATAGGTGGTGAGCCCTGATCCCCTAAGGGAGGCAAAGGTGGTTATTGGGGTTAGGTATCTGGTTTAAATACAATTTTGTGATGATGACCAGGCTGACTTCAGAAAAACCTGGAAAGACTTATATGGTCTGATGCTGAGTGAAGTGAGTAGAACCAAGAGGACTTTGTACACAATAACAGCCACGTTATGCAATGACTAAGATTGTTAAACTGAACCCTTCTCAGAATTACGAGGATCTAAGACATCTCCAGAGGCCTCGGGATGGAAAATGCTGTTCACATCCAAAGAAAGAACTATGGAAGTTGAATCACTATCACTTATTTTTACCTTCTGTTGAGTTTTGTTTCATCTTTCTGATGGTTCCTCCTATTGGTTTTAATTTTTACTTACAACTTCACTAATGTGAAAATATGTTTAATAGGAATGTAAATGTAAAGCCTATATCAGATTGTGCGTCATCTTAGGGAGGGTGGGGGGGGAGGAAGGGGGAGAAAAATTTTCAACTCAGAAACATATGGAAGTGATTGTTGATAAATCGAAATAAATTAATAAAATTTAAAGAAATAAATGAGGGGGGTTGGGGAGGAGGAAAGGAAAGAATTTGGAACTCAAAGTTTTAAGAATGAATGTTAAAAATTGTTTTCCATGCAACTGGGGGAAAATAAAATACTAAATGTTTTTTTCATTACAAAAAAAATACAATTTCGTGAGGGCAGCTAGGTGGCACAGTGAATAGAGCTCTGGCCTTGGAGTCAGGAGGACCTGAGTTCAAATCCAGCCTCAGACACTTAATATTTACTAGCTGTGTGACCCTGGGCAAGTCACTTAACCCCAATTGCCTCACCCCCCCCAAAAAAATTACAATTTCATAGAATGGGGGGAAGGGGGACAAGAGAATGGGAGGTGGGGCTCTGGAATGCCTGGGATAGCAGGTAATCCAGAGGTGCCTTAATCATACAGATAAGCAAGGAGAATAGGAAAGGGGAGAGGAAGAGTTGTCAGGTTAATTGGGGGTGCTTTTTGAAAGTACCCAGGTAGGTCCACGGTGGGGCACTTCAATGCATAATCTTCTTTGATGACTTTTCTGGCCTGTCGCACCTTGCATCTTATCTCCTATCTCACATCCTGCATCCTGCTTGCTGCATCTGCCTCACCTCATCATTTGGAGGGAAATATGTGTACCCACAGCACATTTTTGAGTTTAATCTGCATAATTAACATTCTTACCCACCCCTTTCTTAAGTTTAGACAATCAATAGGACAATAAATCAAGCCCTGATTTTTAGCATTTGCTGATTTCTGAGGTATAAATGATCACTCTGAAAATTTAACAATCAGCTCACTGTTTGAGCTGCTTCCAGCACATCCCTTCATGGATGTATGCCTTTATCCAAGTCATTGATAAAAATGATCAGTGGCTCAGGGACAAGCATAGATCCCTGGGGCACTCCACTAGAGACCTCCTGCCAAGTGAACCTAGAATGACTATTGACTGTAGTCCAGGCGTGACCATTCCATTAGTTCTGAATCCATCCAGTTACACTGTCATCTGGTCCACTTCTCTCCATATCGTCCACAAGAACACTTCTGCTACTATCAGCTACTTGAAAAAGTCTAGGTAAACTTCATCTCCAGCATTCCTCTGATGTAGCAGGGAGACAGAAAGGAAAGTGGAAAGAGTCCTGGACCTGAATCAGAGGATCTGGGTTCAAATCCTGACTCTGCTACTTATGGACTTGTATGACCTTGGGCAAATCACTTGAGTTCTCTGGGCCCTAGTTCTCTCATCTGTAAAATGAGGGGCCTCTAAGGCTCCTTCTCACTCTGACTCTATGGTCCTATGATGCCAGTTGAATTACTCTGTCAAACATAGGCAATAAGGTTAGAAATCATCAGATCTGGCTGAAGCCAGACTGGCTCTTTGGGATGGTCACCTCTTCCTTTTCTAGAATTTTAATAAAAAGCATTAAAATTTTCCAGCAATCAAAGCTAGGATCATGAATCTTTTATCTGCAGTTTCTATTTTCTTCCCCTTTTTTGAAAATTGGTCACTGATGGGGGCTCAAACATCACATTCACCAATTTTTTCGGTGCCCTGGGAGGTAGCCAAGTTTGCTGTGATGGTGTCAGCTCAGTGTGCTCGCTGTCTCCTTGCCCATTTTGGGCTTCACTGCTATACTGGCCAGCATCATGTTCTTTCTTCTCCAGCCTCAGTAGTCTTCTCCTTGGCAGAGAAAACAGAGAAAAAAATAAGAGCTGAGCTGTTCTGCCCTCTCCCCTACATCAGCCTTGGCCCCCTACAGCTGTACTCTTGTAGGGGAGATAAGTCAATCAGTCGGTCAATGAGCATTTATTAACCACTTAATAACAATAATAGCTAGCATTTATAGAAGGTTTGCAAAGTGCTTTACAAATATTGTCTTATTTGATTCTCATGACAACCCTGGGAGGAGGTGCTATTATTATCCCCATTTTTCATATGAGGAACTGAGGCAGATGGAGGTTAAATGATTTGCCCAGGGTCATACAGCTAGTAAGTGTCTGAGCAGGATTTGAATTCAGGTCTTCCTGAATCCAGGTTCAATGATTATCTGCTCTGACACCTAATGGGCATTGGCCTAAGCATTGAAATACTAGGCAGGAGAAGACCAGGGAAGGCTTCTTGCAAGAAGGTGGGATTTGAAGACATGAAGACAGGGACACAAAGAACCAAGTTTAAGGGTTATCTATAGTGTCAAATGCTCCTGAGACGTTGAGGACAAGGGCCTAGAAAAGACATCTGTATTTGGCTCTGGGAGTCCATTGACAACCTTGGAGAGAGAAGTGGGTAGGGATGGGAACAAGCATTCATATAGCACCTACTATGTGCCATGCACTGTGCTTTATACAAACATTTCACTTGATTCTGGCAGGTAGATGCTATTATGATCCCCATTTTATATTTGAGGAAACTGAGGCAGACAGAAATTAAGTGACTTGCCCAGGGTCAAACAGCTAGTTAAGTATCTGAAGCCAGATTTTAACTCAGGCCTTTCTGACCCAGGCCTGGCGTCCTATTCGCTGAATCATCAGTGGAGTTGTAGGGGTCAGTGGATGGTGAGAAGATGAAGGCAGGCCAGATGGACTGTTGGAAGGAAAGAAGATGGCATGGAGGGATGTGGGGGAAAGGAGGATTCAGAAGGAGCTTTATTTTTTTTTAGGGAAGGCTTGAATATACTTGAGGTTGAAAAGAAGGCAATAATGGGGAGGGTCAACTGAAGATGGAAAAGAGAGGCTACAGAAAGGAGAGTTATTAGAGAAGCCCAATCTCATGGAATCTCTGAGTCAGAATGTCCTCCATGATCACCTAGTTCAACCCCTGCCTACAACTGAGGCCCCAACTCTGCCACTTCCTATCCAACTGTAGGCAAGTCATTGAACCTCCCTGAGTATCAGTTTACCCAACTATAAAATGGGGGGAGCCAATGATCCCTGACAAGTGACCATCCAGCCCTGCTTGAAGATTGCCAGTGATTGGGGCCCACTGCTGTATGAGGCGACTCTGCATTTGAAGATGGCTCTGGTTGTTAGGAAGCTGGAGGCAGAAGGGGACCAGAGCATCAGAGACTGAGAATGGAAAGGTCTTTGGAGGCCATCTAAGTCAGGCGAGATGTTTTACAGATGAGGAAACTGAGGCCCAGAAGTTAAGTAACTTGCCCAAGGCCACATAGTTAACATGAGACAAAATCAGGATTCATATTCCAGGTCGTCTGATTCCAGATTCTTTCTGCTACACAATACCTAAGTATCGAATACCTAAGATGAGGAAACCGAGGCCCAGGTATATGGTAGGGGCTTAATTCATACTTGTTCGGTTGATTAATAGGACAAGTGACTTTCCCAGGTCCCACTAAATATAAGTGGCAGGGCCGGGATTTGAACTCAAGTTCTGAGGCTTTAAATGTAGTGCTGGACCATTAGAGAAGGGGTAGGAGAATTAGGAGATAGGCTTGGAAGATGGGGAGGCCCACTGCTTTCTCTGAAAATGAGGAGAACGGGGCATAGGGACATCACTCTGGGCAGTGTGTGAAAGAAGTGGAGAGATTTCACAGGAGCCATGAGCAAGGGGATTGTTCCTCTGACCTGTCTTTGTCTGTGCCAGATCCCGCTGGAGGAGAAACGGAGCTGGTACTTCACGATGGCAACGCTGCTCATCAGGTAAGATGGCCACGGGCCAGTAGAGGGAGGAGAGCCTGGAGATGAGGAGGGGACCTGCACACAGAGATGTTTCAGCTACCTGCTAATCACCCTTTGAAGAGCCTCAAGGAACAGCAGCCCAGGGAGTTGGGCTATCCCAGGGCACAACACACCACACTCTCTGTCCTTGATTTTAGTCCAGGGCCCAGCACTGGGGAAGGAGCTTTTAATAATGCTTGTGGATGGATGGATGGATGGAAGGATTAGCCAAATGATGGAGGGTAGGGCTTCTGAAAGAGCTAAGAAAGCTTAGAATCTCTTCAGCTTTGGAACCCCAGAGTAACAATTCAGGAAAACATAATAAAACACACAAACAACAACAACATGGGACCATTTAACATTTTTTAATGTATTTAACAACTATCTTTTTTTTTTATGAAGGCACTAATTAGGAAGCATAGAGGACAGAGCATTGGATTTGGAGTTACATTTGTAGTCTGTTACCATGTGGCTTTGGGCAAGTCCCTTCTCCTATGATGAGCCTCAGTTTCCTCATCTATAAAATGGGCAGGTTGGATTAGAAGGCCTCTGTAGTCCATTCCAGCTTTACAGCTATTACCCTCTATGATCTTATCAAATTAAGCAATATATATAAAAAGCCCTTAGCTAGTGCCTAGCACATAGTAAGCATTTTTGTTGTAGTTCAGTCATTTTTCAGTCATGTCTGACTCTTCATGACCCCATTTGGGAGTTTCTTGGCAAAGATACTGGAGTGCTTTGCTATTTCCTTCTCCAGCTCATTTTATAGTTGAGGAAACTGAGGCAAACAGGGTAAAGTGACTTGCCCAGGGTCACACAGCCATTAACAGTCTGAGGCTAGATCTGAATTCAGGTCTGCCTAACTCCAGGCCTGGTGGTCTATCGGCTCTGCCACCTAGTGACCCAGTAGACACTTGAAAAATGCTTATTCCCTTCCCTTTTTCCTTTCTAGTTTTAAGTCTATCCTACAATATGTGAAAAGGTTGGACCAGATTAAGATTTCTTAACCTGATGTCCACGAAATTCTTTAAACTCTTTGGCTAACTCTATTTCCCTGTAATTGGCTTCCTTTGCAATCCTGTATAATTTATGTCATTCATTTACAAAACCTGATTCTGTGGAGGGGTTCAGCAGCTACCCCAGACTGCCCAAAGGGTTTCAGAAGCCCTGCTCCAGAAGTCTTTTCCAATGATCGCGTCCTTTCATCTGAATGCTTAGGGAAGTAGAGGGCCCTGAGGAGAGGGATGGCCTCACTTTTGTCGTCTGAAGCCCCTAGCGCCCAGCTGAGCGCCTCGATCCTACTAGCTAATCAATAAATATTGCTTAACTGAAAGTTAAGTCAGGCGAGAGTCCCGGGCCCTGCTCTGGCACCAGCTGGGTCACTCTTGACAGGTCACTTTAAACTCTCTGAGCCTCAGTTTGCCCAGCTGTAAAATGGAAATAATTTGACTTGCTCTGTGGAGGAAAGTGCTTGTGAACCTCAAAGCGCCTATGAAATGGTGGCTCTGATTATGTTTTAATTTGAGGTCCCTTTGAGCTTGTGATCACAAGGCCTCCCCCTCTAATTTCCCTGGATCCCAGGAGCCTAGGTCTGGGGCTGGAAGGGACCATAGTGGCCCTCCAGTCCAAACTCCCATTTTACAGATGGGCAACGTGCTGGGTAGAGAAATGGGTTACTTTTCTCCTAGAAACTGAACTCCAACAACCAAGAAATAAACTTGGAGGGTCCTGGGGAAGGAGACTTGTTTGGCAGGGAGAAATTTCCTGCTCGGCTCCAAGGGAGAGAGGGACTGACCTGTTGTATCCTGCTGCCCTCCACAGGCTGGACGGCATCTTACTGAACCAGGGCATTGAGGAGCAGAAGAGGCTGGTCCCTTTTAACCGCACCCTCAGGCTGCTCCGGGAAGTGGTCAAGTCCTCCAGCACCCACCATCGAGGTAATCAGAGCCCCCACCTCCTCAACTGGCTCCTTCGGTCTTGCATGGCCCCAGGCCCTATCCCCTGCCCCTCCCCCTCCCCCACCCTCATCCGTACCTCCACCCTGTCCATACCCTAGCTCTTGTCCTCAGTTTCTCTCCTTGTCTCTGACCTTGCCTGTGTCTCTGTGTGTCTCTCTCTCATCCCTGGCTCTGGAGTGAGATGCTCAAATGCTTCCTCTGGCTCCTCCTCCCTTTGTGACCTTGGGCAAGACTTCCCACCTCTCAGCCTCAGTATCCTCATCTATGCGATGAGGGGCCTGGGCTAGCTGGCCTCTGATGTCCCTCCCTGCACTAGAGAGATCTGGGTGCTCTCCCCCATCCCCTATTTGTTTCCATTCTTTCTCTGTCTCTCTTCCAATGACTCGGTCTCGTTCTGTCTTCCTCCCTCCTTTAGCCTCTGTTTTTGTCGCTGCATGTTTTTATCTGCCTCCTTCTTTTCTTTCTGTCTCTGTCTGTCTGTCTGTCTCTCTTTCTGTCTCTCTGTCTCTCTGTCTCTGTCGCTGTCTGTCTGTCTCTCTCTGTCTCTCTGTCTTGTCTGTCTCTGTCTATCTCTGTCTCTGTCTGTCTGTCTGTCTCTGTCTGTCTGTCTCTGTCTGTCTGTCTGTCTGTCTGTCTGTCTGTCTCTCTCTCTCTCTCTCTCTCTCTCTCTCTCTCTCTCTCTCTCTCCACCCCAAGCTTCTACTTTTGGAAAACAGAAAATATTAGGAAGTTTTCTTTTTCTTCCTCCCACCCCCAACATTAAGCAGCTAGGGGATACAGTGGGTAGAGCTAGAGCTGAAGTAAGGAAAACCTGAGTTCAAAATCTGCCGCAGACACTTACTAGCCAGCTGTGTCATTTAATTTCCCTTAGTCTCAGTTTCTTCATCTGTAAAATGGAGATAATAGCATCTACCTCCCAAGGTTGTTGTGAGGATCAAATGAGATAATAGTTGTGAAGCACTTAGTAGGCACCTTAATAAACTTTTATTGGCTAACTCACTGATTAATTATTCAGCACTGACTGTGTACCAGACACTGTGCTAAGTTCTTAGGATCCAAAGAAAGGGAGAAATATGGTCCTTGCCCTGTAGGGGCTCATGCTCCAATAGGGGAGAGCACGTGCAAACAGACAACTCTGTACACAGAGGGAAGTTGCGGGGGGAAAAGGGGGACCAGAAAAGTCATCTTAAAAGAAGCCAAGAAAACCAACATAGTGATGTCATGTTCGGGAATGAAGGCCAGCAACCAGGAGTCAGAGGGGAGGAAGATGATCATTCCTTAAGGGAGCCGGGGGAAATGCCCCAGAGGATGATGGAGGATTGGACGGGAGGACCAGCCAGGCCAGCTTCACCTGATCATGGAAGAGCTGTCCAGGAATGAGGTGTAAGAGGCCTGGCAGGGTAGGAAGGGCTGGGGCTGAAGGGCTTAAAAAGCCAAACGCAGGATGTTCTGACTTATCTTGGGCGTAATCAGAAGCCACTAGAGTTTTTTGAGAAAAGGAAGTGACACGGTCAGACCTGAGTTTTAGGAAGATGTCAGGATGAAAGGACGTCAAAGCCAGCATCCCAAAAGGTACTTGACGGCTAGACCTTGAGGCAGAATCAAATTAAATGGACTTTTTTATCTGATAAATTATTTTAAGAATTAGTTTATTTTAAACTTAAATATACAATAAGAAAAGAAAAAGAAACATATTATAAATATTAAATATTAAAACTTAAATACAAAATAAGAAAGAAAAAAAAAAGCATTGCCCTGTGTACAGCAGAACCTAAGAGAAGATTCAAAATATATAGCAATAAATTTCCATTTCAAGAAAGCCTATATAATGAATACTACTCATTGTGTTGAGAGTGGTCCATCTTTTCTTTGCTTCCTTGTAAGTTTTCTTTTGTTCTTTGCTATGCACTTTTTACTTTGTTCTTTTCCCCTCCTTCCTCCCCCCTCCCCCAAGAAGGCTACAATTAAGCACAGATATATATGTGTGTGTATATATACATACACACATAAATATATATACACATATACACACAAAAATATATACATACACACATATACTTAGATATCTATAATTATACTCATATATAGATATATATATTCATATGCATCTATGTAAGACCGTACTACACTTATTTGTCCTCTGTCTCTCTGAAGGTGGATAACCTTTTCCTTTATATGTCCAAGTCTTTCCATATTTTTCTAAGTCTACCAACTCATCATTTCCTACAGCACAGCAATATTCCAACCTTAGACTGTCTAGTTATTTTAAATACTCTAAAACATCATTGATTAAAATGCTTGACATATAGTATAGTTTCCCTCTTTTTCTCTTTTGATTAAATCTATTTTAGCCTTAACTTTGTTGAAAATCATGCTTACCACCCCTGCTCCTTTTTCCCTAACAAATTCTACTCCTGATCTTTATTTTATGTTTGTGCAGATCTGTTATTTCCTATCCCTCCTGACTCCTTTACTTTACTTCTATCTGCTACCTTGCCCTCCTATTACTTAATCTACCCTCCCCAGGATCCTCCCCTTGTCCTCCCATTCTTATTGATCTAAACACCCTTCTATACCCCCTTTATCCTATTCCGTCACCCTCCCCTCTGAAAATCCCTCTCTTATCCTCTCCCCCCTCTCTCTCCCCTTACCCTTTTATTTCTTTCTGAATTTAGAAGACTTTCATACCTATATATAATATATAGGTATACATATAGGTATGTATGTATGTATGTATGTATTGTTCCTCTTAAACACATTCCCAATGAAAGTAGGTTTCCAGAACCACCAGCTGTCCCCCTCCATCTAATTCCTCTGTGTCAGTTCTTCCTCTCGCACCTCTTTGTATAAGATAATTGCTCTTAGAGATCTGCACAAACATAAAATAAAGATCAGGAGTGGAATTTGTTAGGGAAAAAGGAGCAGGGGTGGTAATCATGATTCTGGACAAAGTTAAGGCTAAAATAGATTTAATCAAAAGAGAAAAATAGGGAAACTACACTATGTGTCAGCCATATTTATCAATGTTGCTTTGGACTATTTAAAACAGCTAGACAGTATAAGGTGGGAATATTGTTGTGGTATAGGAAATTACAAGTTAGTGGACTTGGAAAACTATGGAAAGACTCAGACATATGAAGAAAGAGGTTATCTACCCTTAGAGAAATGGAGGATAAATATGTATAGTGTGCTCTTACATAGATGCGTGTGAATGTATATGCCTACATATAAGTATGATTATGGGTATCTAAATATATGTACGTGTAAGTGTATTATGTAGGGGTGTATGTATGTGTATGTATATATGTATTCTTTGTGTGTGTATGTCTATAAGTGTGCATGTATCCGAGCTTAATTGTAGCCTTCTGGTGGGGGAGGGGAGGAACAAAAGAAAACTTACAAGGAAGCAAAGAAAAGATGGAACGCTCTCAATACAATGCATAGTATTTAATAAATATGGTTTCTTGAAATATAAATTTACTGTTGTTATTTTGACTCCTCTCTCAAGTTCTGCTCTGCACATGGCAATGTTTTTTTTCTTTTCTTATTTTGTGCTTAAGTTTAAAACAAAAAAAATTACAAGTGAAAAATAAAAAAATAAAAAAGCTTTAAAAAAAGATAATTACTCTTTTTAAGATGGAATTTAGTTGGCTTAAATGTGTCACAATTGGGTATAAAAGCCAACTTCCCAAGTACCGGAAGGGGGAGACAGGGATAGACTTCAGGGATAGACATTACCCTGTCTATTCCTTGTTCTGGGCAGCTAGGTGGTGCTACAGTGGATAGAGTGCTGGATCTGGAATCAGGGAGACCTGAGTTCAAATACTGCCTCAGACACTAGCTGTGTGACCCTGGCAAGTCACTTCACCCAGTTTGCCTCAGTTTCCTCATCTGTAAAATGAGCTGCAGAAGGAAATGATAAACCACTCCAGTTTCTCTGCCAAGAAACCCCCAAATGGGGTCATGAAGAGTTGGACGTGACTGAAAAGTACAACAAAATTTATTGTTTGTATGTTGTCTCTTGTATTAGAATAAGATTTTGAAAACAGAGACTTTTTCCCCTTTCTTTGTATTCCCAGCACTTAGCACAGTGCTTAGCACACAGTAGGCACTTAATAAATGTTTGTTAGCTAAGTATTAGGGGGGAAAAGTCCTGGGGGATTTAGTCAGCTGCAAGCTCTGCCCTACGCCACAGTGTCACAGTCTGAGGCTGCTTCTAGAGAGACTGCACAGTGAAGGGGACCAGGGAGGTGAGGAGGGTCCCACTGTCCTGTGTTTGGTCAGACAACATCTGGAGGAGGTGTTCAACTCTGGGCACCAAATGATAGGAAGTTATTATTTTAGAACACCCAGAGGCGTGCAGCCAGAATGGGGAGGGGCCTCTTGTGTGGCCCAGATAAGAATCCACTGGAGGAATTGGGGGTGCTGAGTTCTCAGAAGACTTGGGGAAAGAACAGAAGTGAGGCATGTAGAAGCTGCTTTCAGGCGAGTGAAGGAGAAAGCCTGCCACAATGAAGAGGGAGTAGGCTTATTACATTATACCGCAGGTACAGAACCAAGGACCATGGAGAGAAATTGTGATGAGGCACATTTAGGGTGCATACCAGGAAAGACTTCCTAAATGACCAGAGCTGTCCCAACGAGGAGGAGCTGACTGGGGAGGCAGAGGTGGTGAAGGGGCTGCTATAGAGGGCATTGCTGCACAGGGATGGGTGGGACATCCCATTCCACAATTCTGTAAAGTTCCTAGATGCTGCCTCAGAAACTCATCTTCCTTGGGTCTCTTTCATTGCCCCAAAGGATGGAAGAATGAGGTAGCTGGGCAGCCCAGCTCCAGAGGATTCTAAGGTGTTGGCTCCAAGTGATCAGAGACCATTTTAACTCCTCTCTTTGCTTCTCCACCACCAAGCACAGTTCCTGGCACATAGTAAGCAATTGTAATAAATGCTTATTTGCTTGATTAATGTGAATAAATGAATGAATGAGAGAAAGCATTTATTAAACACTATGTGCCAGGCAGTATGCTCAACAGGAGAGCATTTCTTGAGGACTGAGCTCCCACCTGCCTGGGCTTTACAAGGGCCTTTGCCAGAGCTCAGAGCAGAGGTCAAGGTCCTGCTGGGGTCTTCTTGCTCAAGTGTCCCTGAGGTTCCTTTCCTCCTTTCAGCTCTGGCCTGGTGCTACCTTGGGATGCTTCTGGAAAGGAAAGACACCTTCTCTACCACCCCTATGGGAGTGCATGACTGTGGCTACTCAGGGACTGACCCCCTGGACTGTTTTGGCAAGGTATGTAGCCTAGCCTGGAGGAAGACTGAAGAAATCAGAAGTGGTCCTCTGAGCCCCTGGAAGGAGAGAGTAACAGAACCAGGATGGCTCAGATGATGTCACAGCCTCACTCAACATCCCTAGGTGGCTCCCCGTGGCCAGCAGGATGAAGTCTAGTATCCTTAGCCTGTCTGCCTTGGCAGGGCAGCGTTCTCTGGGGTATTTTGGTGGAGAGGTCACTGACTTTACAGTCAGAAGACCGGGGTACAAATCTTGGGTCTGGTGCCATCTGTATGACCAGGGACAAGTTGCTTGACTTCCCCAGGCCTCAGTTTATCCATCTGTAAAGTGAGGGGTGGTCTCCAAGGACCCTTCTAGCTCTGGGGCGGTCCTCTTATTTTCCTCTGCTCTTCCTCACAGGCTGTTTGTGCCAAACACAAACACGTAGCCCACAAGCACACGCATGCAGTCCAAACCAGATTAAAATGTAGTTCTTACTACAATCGAGATTGAAAGTGTTGAATTATTGAAAAAAAAGCAATAGATAAACACATGGTTTTCTAAGTCAGCACGTGACCCCCCCAAATCCTTCTGTCCAGTTTAGCAGCCCCTATTTTCATTTCAGGTGCACTCCCCTGCTCTACAAATCAGGCCCATACAAATTGTATCTTTCTTCTCCCTGGGAACGGAATCCCCTCCTACCTCATTATTTGTCAAACTACCTATCCTTCAAGGCCAAGGAGAAATGGCCACTCCTCCTGGAAACCCTCTCCAATATCCCCAGCCATCAGTCAGCTGGCTCTGCATCCTCAGATCTGAGAATCATAGAATCCTAGACCGTTAGGAATCTTCGAGATGAGGAGACTGAGACCCAGAAAGGAAAAGTGACCGGTCCCAACTCACCCAGAGAGGTGGCACAGTAGGCAGTGTGTTGGACCTGGAATCAGGAAGACTTGAGTTCAAATGTGACCTCAAACATTCACTAGCTGTATGACCCTGGGCAAGTCACCTAGCTTTTGTTTGCCTCAGTTGTCTTAACTGTAAAATGGGGATAATAACAGCACCTACCATCACAGGGTTGTTGGGAGGATCAATTGAGATAATATTTGGAAAGAGCCTAGCATGGTGCCTGGCACATAGTAGGCACTTAATAAATGTTTGCTTCCTTTCTTGTGGAAATTCTATAAATTCCCCAGTCTGGCTCCCACCTACCTTTCCAATCTCAGCTCTCACCAGTTCCCTTCCAGCCAAGCTAGACTATGAGTTCTTCCCCAAACTCAGCATTCCATCTCCCGCCTTTGGTGCATTTGCACAAGCCAGGCCCGTGCTCAGCAAGTCTTCCCTCCCTCCCTCCTTCCCTCCTAATCTGCGCCTCTCAGAATCCTTATGTTCTATCAAGGCTTCCCCCAAGACCTCCTTGATCTCCTCCCCAGCTGTCAGCGCCTCCTCCCTCCTCAGATCTGCATGTTTCATATTTGCTCATCTGTGTACATTCTGTGTCAGCTGCCTGCTGCTTGTGGGGTGCAGCCTGACTGGGGGATTCCTCTTTCCCTAGGACAGCACAGCTCTAGGCTCCTGACAGTGCTCAGAAAACAAGGCATAAGCTCTTCCAGGGCAGGGACCATTTTGTTTTAGCTCCCATATCTAGCACCAAGCCTTGCAAACAGTAAGCACTTAATAAATGCTTGTTGAATTGAGTTAAATGGAATGACTGTCCTCGATTAGATTATAAACTGTGAGGACAGGAGCCATGTTTTGTCCTTGTATCCTTATTAGGAACTAGCACAGGACTCTACATATAGTAGGGGCTTTGAAACTTTGTGCTCAATGAATGAACGAATAAAGGAATCCTAGCTTCCTTTCTTGACTTCTACATCCTTCTGCTTGCTGCATTTGCCTACCTGCCCAGTTACTGATTTGTTTGCCAACATTGTCCTCTCCAGGCCATAGAGATCGCCAAGGACCATGCACCCATCTTGAATCGACTGGCCAAGATCTTCCATTTCCTGGGGAAGCAAGACATGGCCATCGGCATCTGCAACATGGCTCTGGACATCCTGCCAGATCCTGAGCTCAACTGGCAGGCCTACTGCACCAGGGCCAAGGTTCAAAGCAAGAGCTTCCCAGGAGTCATGGCTATAGGCAGGGTGGGGGAGAGGGAAGGAGGGCCAGTATTAAGGGATCCTCTGATGACCAATGCAGTGTTTATGGGCTGGATATTCATAGACTCTCAGAGGTAGTGGGTAGGATGTGAGAAAGCATTTGGGTGTGTGTCCTCTAGAAGGGAATCATTCAGCCTTTATTGAGTCCCTCTAGGGATGGGGAGCTCACTACCTCCTGCAGCAGCACATTCCCTTTGGAATAACTGATTGTAAGGAAGTTTTTACCTGGTATCAAGCCTTAGCTAGCCATCTGTGGGTTTCTCCTGGTTTTTCTTTCTGGGGTCAAGCAGGACAAATCTCAACCTTCTTCAGAATGACATATCTGTCACATTCCCCTGGATTCTTCTCTTCTCTGGCCTCGTCTGAATTCTCTGTTCCTCCACATCACAAGAGATCATTGAAAGCCGATTTGAGAAGTTTTCTGGAGAAACTGAGAGTCACAGGAGAGATGAACAATGTCACCTGGAGGGGTAGTGAGGGAGCAACTGCTATTGCTTCCAGAATTCCCCTTAGTTAATTCTTTTTACCTACAGATCCACACCAAGGCATACTTGCGTGATCTGGAGCGGGCCAAAGCTGGGCTGGGAGGTCTGCCAGACAGGAATCACCTCACTGTAGCCAGGGATGACCTGGAGGAGGTGGTCAAGGTGTGTCCAGGCCTAAAGACCTACCTGGACATCGGTCAGGTGAGACAATAGTCAGGGGGTCTCCCACATCTCCCCTTCTCTGCAAACAAGAGTTGTCTAGAACACAAGAAGCTAGGTGACTTATCCAGGGTCATGCAGCCAAGATGTCTCGGCACCTTGAACCTAGGTCTTCCTGGCTCTGAAACCATCTCTCTATCCCGTAAGCCATGCTGCCCCAAAGTAAATAAGTACCAAATAGCTTCTCTTTACTTACATTTTAATAAAGTACTGCAAAGCTAAGAGTGATAGTATTATTGTCTCCAGACCTCACAGGCCACCTGGTCCAGCCTGAACCTGAACAAGAATCCTCTTTTCAGAAACCCCAGTGAGTGGCCATCCAGCCTCTTCTCAGATACCTCCAGTGATGGGGAGCTCACTACTCATTAGCTACTAGAGAGACACCAAGGGTCACTGGATTTCCAGAGCAAAGACCTCAGTTCAAATTCCAGTGCTGCAAGCTACTACACATGACTTAAGTTCTCTAGATTCAATCATAAATGGGAATTGGACTGGATCACCTTGGCATCTCTCTGGCCATTTTTCCAGCTCCAGATCTAAGATAGCATGATTCTACCTCCGGGTCAGCTGGTCCCACTTAGTCATAGACTAATTATTAAGCAGTTTTTCTTCAAGTTAAGTTGAGGTCTCAGCTCCCCAAATGCAATTGGAACTGGTGAAATCCATGTGGCTGGTTAAAGTCTCCAGTCATGGCTAGCTTGCTTGCTCAGTGGATCACATTGTCCCTTCTTGACCCAATCAAAGATGACCTCACTTCATAAAGTCCCCAGCACTTAGCACAATGTCTAGCACATAGCAGGCTCGTTGGCTTGACTTATTATGTGCCAGGCACTGTGCTAAGCACTGAGGATACAAGGAAAGACATATTCTTCCTGCCCTCAAGGAGCTTACAGTCTAATGGGGGAGAGAACACCGGCACAACTGGGATGTTAGAGGCCACTTAGCCCGAATTCGACTCATTTCAGGGGTGAGGAAACCAAGGACCAGGATCACATAGGTAGTAAGTGGCAAAGCCAGGATTCGAACCTGCATCCCCTCCCTCTAAAACCAGCTCCCTTTCTCCCCCACTGCCCATCTGACTGCCTCTGGCTCCTCTCCCTTCTCCCCAGGTCTACTATTATATGGGAGTGGACGCTGTGCAGGAACTGCTGGCCGTGGACGAGTCGGCCCTGAACAAGGCCCTGGTGTTCTTCGCCAAGGCCATGGAATCGGACGTGGGCGAGACGCTGCCCGAGATCCAGCTGCTCCGAGGCAAGTGCTTGCGGATTAAGGGCGAGGAGCCCAACGCCGTGGAGTGCTTCAAACGCGCCATTGAACTGGATGAGAGCGGGTCGCGCCACACTGAGGGCTTCCGCTGCCTCCTGGAGACCCTGCTGGCCCTCCTGAGCCAGGCCCGGCTGAGCGCCAGCGAGCTGGGCCGGGAGGTGGAGCTGTGGGTGCGCAAGGCTGAGGGCAAGTACCCGGCGGCGCGTGTGAGACAAGAGCTGCAGCGCGTGTACCGCAGCCACACAGCCGAGGTGGTGGCCCTGTCCAAGGCCATGGTGTCTCAGGGCAGGCTGCAGCTGGTTCGGCTGCTGTTCGACACCATGGGTGACGCCTGGAGAAAGCCGCAGCTGGGCGAGAGGTCCCTCTCCTTCTGAGCCACGGGCGCTTCTGGAACCGTAGGAGCTGAGACTGGGGTGTCCAGTGCTGGGGCCACGTTGTAGGACGGCCACAGTGACAAGCCGGGTGTGTCGACATGGGCGTCTGCAAACATAGGGCACTTTAAGGGGTGCCAAGTGTAAACAGTGTGTTGGAAAGACTGACCCGGCGCGGAAGCCTTATAAAAGACCCACAATCCAGGTCTCCTGCTGGGTGTCAACCAAAACCCGCATCTTCTACTCTCCAACCAGCTGGCCAGCCGGCCGGTGTCTGGAAGGCCCTGCCTCATTCCTTATGCAGCTGGAATTCCGAGCGTCCTTCACCGCACAGCTGAGGGCGCTTCTTTATTACATTGTATTACGTTGTATTACTCTGTATATGTCTCATTTACTTCTCAGAGTCCGTAGAATGTAAGCTGCCCGGCGGCAGTTTTATTTTCTCTGTATCCCCAGTGCCTTGCACACAGTAGGCATTGAATAAATGTGTGCTAAATTAAATGTATTCACTCTTAGAGCCTGTGATCTTACAGACGTCTTGGCCTGAAGCAAGCTGCTAGGGAGGGGGAGTTCTGACCCATCATTTCATCAGCTCCAAGCAAGGAAACCCTCTGTTAATTGAAAGAGTTACCTAGAACCGCTGAGAGGGTTGAATGACTTGTCTGAGGGTCCCACCGCCAGTGTATATCCTAGGCAGGATTTGAACCTGAATATTTCTGGCCTCTCTCTAGCCACCATACCATACTCTCTATCTCAAGCCTGATGTTAGCCCAGTTTGTGTGGCACCTTCTCTCACAACTCCCTCTATTAAGGAGCTGTGCAAGTACATTACCCTTTTTACAGATGAGGAAACTGAGGCTCATAGAAGTGAGTTCATACAGCTCGGAAGTGACAAAGCCAGAATCAGAACCCATGTCCCCCCAACTCCAAGTTCATTATGCTTCCTCTGCCTCATCTCTCTCCTTTATATACAGCTTTAAGATTTGCAAACTGCTTTCCCTACAAGGACCCTGGCTAATGTGATTACCTCCATTTTTTCAGATGAAGAAATGGACACTGACAGAGTTCAGGTCCTATTCCCCAGACCCTCCACGTGCCTTTTCACTGGTTGTTCTCCATTCCTGAAATGTTCTTCTTCCTCTCCTCCATCTCCTAATTTCTCTGGTTTCCTTTTCTCAAATCCCACCTTCTACAGGTCTTTCCTTGTCCCTTCTTCCCCCCCCCCACCTCCACCCTGTCCTCCTCCTCTGTTTTCCCTTTGGGATTATTACCTCCCACATACACTGTCTATATCTTGAAGGTACACAGCTGTTTGCATGTTGTCTGCCCATTGAAATGTGACCTTCTTGAGGGTTGGTGATTACTGTTTTGCCTTTCTTTTATCTCCAGTGATAGCACAGTGCCTGGCACAGAGTAAGTGTTTAATAAGGCTTTGGTAGTTGATTAACTGATGGCATAGGTCCAAACAAATGCATTCTTAGGCTATGTGAGGGAAGAGGGAAGGCTCGGGCCTGGAAATGGGGGTGGGAATGCTCCCCTTGGGCTCCGCCTTGCCCAGGCCGTGTCTGGGACTCTGTGTTCAGAGAGTGACATTTTCAATGTGACCAGGATACTATAGAGATCAGTGACCATGCCATGCTTGGAGGAATGAGGGATTTTAGCTTGGACAAGAGAAAGCTTGGGGGACGGGGTGCTGATAGCTGTGTCTAAGTATTTGATGGGTTATCATGTCAAAGATGGATTTTCCTACTTGGCCTTATAAAGTAGAATTAAGAGTGATGGGTGGCAGTTAGAAGAAGACAGATTTAGGAAACACTTCCTAAATAATGAAAGCTGTGCCAAAGTGAAATGAGATGCCTTGGGATGTAGTGAGCTCCCTGTCATGAGAGATCTTCAGCAGAGGCTGGCAGACCAGTTGCTAGGTACATTGTAGTAGGGATTCTTGTTCAGGTCTGGGTTGGATTAGATGATCTCTGGGATCCCTTCTAGATCTAACATTTTGTTATTCTGCTGTCCTTGTACTGTCTCCCTTCCATGGGTTGTTTTAAGGAAAGTTCTTGGGAAACCTCAAAGGGCTTATAGAGACGTGATTTCTTCCTCCGGCTAGTGTAGAATCTGTCAGAGCCAGGCTGAGGGAGAGTGTCTGCACTTCAGGGACATCTGGCTGCTGCTACTGTTTCAGAGGGTTTGGGCCTTCCATCGTTAAGGGAAGCTGGTTGGGGGGTGTGAGCAGACCAGGGTGGGATGGGGCAGGTGCTTATTCTTTCATTACAGCTGAGAAAACTTCCTAGCTTTCCTACCCACCCAAACCTCAAGGGAAGCTGCTGCCATGCCTCGTTAGGCACCCAGGAGCCTCCTAGGAGGTGCCTTATGAAACCCCTAATAATAGAGTAATTAGTGTAATGATGATTAATGACCTTGAATTCATCTCTCGCCTACATCCCTCTCTCCAGTGAGATCTGCCCCCTCAACAGTCTGGAACAGAGGGATGGGGCTTTGGGAGTCTTTGGACTTACTTGCCTTTTCTTCCCAGATGGCCAGCACATTCCAATACAATCTAAGTATTTATTAACCATCTTTATGCAGTAGAAAGGGCATTTAGAGTCAGAGGACCTGAGTTTGAATTCTGACTTTGCTACTTACTTAATTCCTAACTATATGACCTTGAGCAAATTACTTACACTCCCTGGGCCTCACTTTCCTCATCTGTAAAATAAAGGGAACTCAATGGTCCTTAAGCTTGAAATCTGATTCTCTGATCTCTGTATAATACAAAATAGAATCTACACACATCGGGAAAATATAATGTGCTGAGATGGGATGAGGAAGAGATCACGCCCAAATGTGGGAATCAGAGGAGGTTTCATGGAAGAGGAAAAATTTGAAAGATGAGTAGGAAGTCAATATTTGAAGATTAGAGATAGAGGAAGGAGGAGTAAATGAGTGAGTGCCCATTCCAGATATATTTGGAAAAGAGACACAGGCGGAATCCCCTTCCTCCATTCATGAAATCCTAAGGGTCCTATGGAGAGATTTCAATGGGTCCATGAACTCGGAAGGAAAAAAATTACACCTTTATTTTCACTACCTTCTAACTAAAAATGAGCACTTCCTTCCATTATGAATGTAATCTACAAAACACGGTTTTGAAAGAGTACCGCAGGTTACCAAAGGGGTCCATGATACTTAAAAAAGGTTAAGGACCTCCTGCCCCAGAGCCTCACTCCCAGAACAACATACCCTTATCTTTGGATGGTTTCTAACAAATGTGGGCCAATTGGACAAGGATAAAGGCAGAGGGGTTGGAGTGGGGAGGGATCGCAATGATCAAACCCAGGGCTTCAAGACCAGATAGACCATCTTTCCTTTGTAACTGATAAAGAATCATTATTGTTCAATCTTAATGAAATATGCAGAATCCAAATGGAAAATGGACTCTTCCCCATTGATGGTAAGTCTTTCCAAATGTTCCTGTGCAGGGATGATATGGAGCCTCAGAATATTGCAGCACATCCTCAGTGAGATACACAGTGGCCTTATACGTGGGCCTAACAATACACACTAGAAAAACCAAGTGGATGAAGAGTCCCTGTTGTCCAGACCAAAATGTGCAGTCAGGTGATTCACTGAGTTAATCCACAAATACGTGCATTTTCAGGCACTGCAAATGGACAGTGAGCTGATCCCAGAGTTGAGAAGGAGGAAGACAGTAGGTGGGATTACATTTAGGAAACTTTGTAGCACTTTTGGGCAGCTGAGTTGTACAATGGATAGAGCATGGGCCCTGGAGTCAGAAGGACCTGAATTCAAATCCGACTTCAGATATTTCCTAGCTGTGTGACCCTGGGCAAGTTGCTTAACCATTTGCCTCAATTTCCTCGTCTGTAAAATGTACTGGAGAAGGAGATGGCAAATCACTCCAGCATCTTTGCCAAGAAAACCCCAAATGGGGTCACAGAGAGTCAGACAAGACTGAACAACAGTAGCACTTTTAATGATCCCAAGCTGCTTTCTGACACAAGACTCCATCTTTTTTTTTTAAGTTTTAGAGGCAGGCATATTTATTTTTCATAATGAAAGATGATAAGCCACTTTTCCCCAAATGTTTGAAGAATTTCAGAGTTCACCAAAGCCTTTTAATTCATCCAGCAAGCATTCGGCATTTCTTTGGCCATCTAGAGCTGAACATGAATGTCTTTGATAACAAACCAAATAAGCAGCTATCTAGCTTTTGCTGAAGGTAATCCATTATCTGCAAGAAAATAAAAGGCCCATTTTGCTTTTGCCTATCTGTGATTTTAGGGAGTTTTTCCTTAGCTCAAGCCTAAATTTGCCTCTCTGAAACTTCTAGCCACTGGAGACAAAGCACATCCATGCAATGTATCTTTGATATGATAATCCTGCAAATACTCAAGTCTGTCATTTCCTGGCCCATCCCCAGTTTTTCCCCAGTTTGGTTTTTTGTTTGTTTGTTTGTTTGTTTGTTTTTTTGCTTAGGCAATTGGGATTAAGTGACTTGCCCACAGTCACACAGCTAGTAAGTGTCATGTGTCTGAGACTGGATTTGAACTCACATCCCCCTGACTCCAAGGCTGGAGCTCTATCCACTGCGCCACCTAGCTGCCCCCTCACTTTTTTCAATCTAAAGTAATATCCCTACTTGCCCCAGGGGTGTCAAACTCACACTCATGCAAGGTCAAAACTCCCCATTTTGCCTGGAACAAGATTAAAATGTAATTGGGAAATGTTTGACAAAACACAAATATATACAAATATATAAACACAATGTAGATAATGTTAATTTGTGGTTTTCTTAAGTCAATGTTACCTTCAAGGATACATTTCTTTTTTTTTTAATAATTAATTTATTTTTAGTTTCCAACATTCCCTTCCATCTCCTCTCCCCTCCCCAAGATGGCGTGTAATCTGATATAGGCTCTACTTACACATTCATATTAAGCATATTAGGATGGCATCATTTTACCCCTAAAATTCTCCTGGTGATGGATAAGGCTGCAAATCATGGAGCCTTCCAACCTCCAGTTCCCAGAGCAATGGAGAGATGCATGGTAAGCACAAGGAAGTTGTGGCCTATTACCGACCATGATCCACATGCAAGAATCAGCATAAGATGCACCATAAAGGGCATCTGCAACTAGGAAAGGAGGCAAGTCATGTAGTGAGAATGAAAAATAGCAGATGGACAGCCCAAGGGTGACGATGGAATCTGTGCATGAGCCATTACAAGACCCAGAAGAAGGCCTCTAATTCACTGGGCAGATGATCTGTGGAGGACTAATGGAAAAACATGGTCAAGAATCACCCAACTGAGAATGTGCTGGACGGCCTCAACACCTTGGAGAAAGCAACAATCACAGAGCCATTGAAGTATTGAGGATGATTATGAGTAACCAGGGGCAGATTTCGTCCTCTCTTACTGTCCTCTTCTG